TCAATTTGTTCTTTCTGAAATTACTACGATCAGATACTGTCTGACTTATTTCTTTGCAAAATTAATTCAAGGTCAAATTTGCAACAGATCAAAATAAGTGATTTTCTAAAGACAAAGCCATCACTAAACTAATTAACCGAATCGTTTACTTTCGGTAACCTTCAATGAAAAACTCAGACAACTGCATGGATTCAACCGTTAGGAGATAGTAAACAGCTGCAGTAACACTGCAACGACCATCTATCTCACTTATTATCATCACTTAACATTTTTAAGTACATCCATCTATTTTCAATACGATATTTTACAGCATGGCCAGCACTGTTAAAACACAACTAAGAGAAATAACTTCACGCAGAAGTTACCGAAAGTTTTCGCAATGATAGACAATTACACTATTGCTGTTCACTCCACTACTTAAACTAATTAAGACTAGTACACCTTTTGACTCTTAGTAACTTACTTTCAAATGACTGCATCTAAATGTCTGTTTTAATAAGCTATCTCATATGTCTACCACTCAGCGACAGGATGACCTGGTCAATGACGCCGAAAAAGTTAACCGAAAAGAATCAAGTTTGCAAGTGAAAGGTAAAGATTACATCGCGCTTCAAGTAATGTTGACTTGTTTAAAACAACTTCCAACTTTAATATCCTTTCACGAAAGCAAGACTAGACAGCAGTGAACTACACAACGTAATCAACTGTAACTTGAACCTATACCTTCAGGACATGACATGATTTAAAAAATTAGTGAGTTGAGTTGCAGTATAGAACGTTGAAGGCTATTCTGACTCAAATCTCATCCCATACAATTTAGGTTTTTTAAATGTTCTGCGCATCTCAACGAATATGTTTGAGAGAATTAACGATGACGACTTGGACCGCACGGCCCTCCGTTAATTCCATGCAAAAGCGTTTGTAGTGTTCTTAGTTACGTGGTGTTATAAAAATTTTGGGCTGCGGTTATTCTATCTGGAATTCCATCATTTTTCCATCTAGCGGCATGTTCAGACAAGGCTAACTTCTCTTTACTCTTTTTAGTTTATTATTTATTTGTATTTTATTTCTCTGGCTCTTAAGCTGCTAAATTCAAGGAACTGTTCACGTTTTCATTTTTATTTTTGTTGCATCCGTTCGTGCATATCAGAATCACAAGAAATTTCATTTTATTCTCACATCAAATTAGAAGCGAAAGAAAAAGTATCTCCTGCTTGCTTACTGCAGTAAAACATTGTAATGTAATTGGCAATCATCACTTCGTCTTTGTATGCATTCCTCGCTCGTATATTCTACGTTTTTATTCACTCTAAAAAACGAGTAAAAGTGTAAGTTGCGCTGAACCTGTAGGTACCATAAAATTCATTTTGTCCTTAAACCTTTAATTTGGTGGTTTATTCAGTAATCTAAATGGTTTGCTGAATTGAGTTACGGTCCACAGAGAATAAAGCTTCATGAAGCAAATTTTCAATTCCAGAAATTCAATTTCGTAAGATTGTTATTTGACTATTTAGCGACTTCAATACATGTGCAACTAATTTGTTTTGGTTTTTTAATGCTGTGTTCGTTGATTGAGATGTGATTTGAGAAGCACACAAATTTTATCATATGTACTGTGATATTATGTTCTCGTTTTGGTTCTTCACTTTATTGATTCATTGTTTCGAAAATTAAAAAATATATGCTTTCCTGTAAAAAACACATGTCTCATGAAAGAAAGTATAGAATTTTCAAACTAAGAAGGTATTAAAGGGCTAAATAACACCGGAAACGGAAGTACCGGTATGGAGGATGCCCACACGAAAACAGCTGAGGAAGTTTTGCAGTACTTCGGTGTTGACAGTAATGTTGGTCTTACCCATGAACAAGTCAATAAAAATAGAGAAAAGTATGGTCCAAATGGTATGTATTTTATCATTATGCTAGTTATGAGTAATGATTATCAGCACTTATACGATTTATTAATATAACTAATACATAATACAAGTTTTTAGAACGCCAAAAAGTCATGCAAGCAATAAGAACACTCTTTCTTCTCTCTTACTTTATTCAGCCTATATTGATATCATATAACATATATCTCACGTTTCAGAATTACCGGCCGAAGAAGGCAAAAAGTTGTGGGAGTTAATATTGGAACAGTTTGATGATCTCCTTGTCAAGATTCTACTTCTTGCTGCCATTATTTCATTTGTATATTTTTAAATCGGTTTCAAGAGTTCTCAAGTATTTACTTGTATTTCGTTCGCAGTCTTTATCAAATTAATAGTGGTCAATGGAGTTGCAAAAAAAAAAAACAAACACTATCTATTTTTCACGTTCTTATAGGTTCTAGCTTTATTTGAAGAACATGATGATCAAACATCAGCAGTCACCGCTTTTGTTGAGCCTTTTGTGATTTTGCTCATTTTGATAGCAAATGCTACTGTTGGTGTTTGGCAAGTAAGTTGAATTGTTTGATATAAGCTTCATGTATTCATCCTCATTTAATTCAACTATATACGACAAAAATTGGTTATGCTACGTGTTTTGATTTTTTTTAATCTTTTTAATATTCAAGTTTTTGAATTACTTGCAGTATATTGTGCAATACATTTGTCTTTAAAGTCTAAATGATTGTTGTTAGAAAATTTTGTTCGAAGTTGGATTATATTTTAAAAATACAGATGCCTATAGGTCTTGAAAAATTTCTTTACTTTGGAGTATAATTCTGATAACTCACTGTAAATACTGCGTCTGTTTATCATAACTATACATAAAACTTTAGGAGAGGAACGCTGAAAGTGCTATAGAAGCTTTGAAAGAATACGAGCCAGAAATGGCAAAAGTGACCCGCGAAGGAAAGCATGGTATTCAAATGATTCGTGCTAACGAACTTGTACCGGGTGACATTGTTGAAGTCTCAGGTATCTCTTTCAGTTGGTTCTTACCGATTGGATATACCTAAAAAGTTTAAAATCAGTAATAAAGTACTGAGTCAAAAACGTAAATGTTCTGTGATTTATTTTTTGGGTGGATTTCTATTATTGCGTTACCATTGATGTTTTGAAAAACAAGAATGTGTGCATTGTGAAAAGTGTTTTTGATGGAGTGGAAATATAAAGATAATGGATTTGTGTAAAAATCAATACGAATTTCGTAAACTCAGAAATGTGTTACAAAATGCATTTAATATGGAAATAAAAATTTACTGTATTCACATGATGAACTACAAGAGATTTTTCGAAAATATTGTTTTTGATTCAATGCTTTTCTTGATTTCCAAGCTATTTTATAACTTCCAGGTTAGTATTAATGGGACCTTTTCAGTGGGTGATAAGATTCCTGCAGATTTACGTCTACTAAAAATTTATTCAACAACATTACGAATTGATCAGTCTATCCTTACCGGTGAATCAGTTTCTGTGATCAAACACACGGATAGTGTACCTGATCGAAGAGCCGTTAATCAAGACAAAAAAAATTGTCTTTTTTCTGGCACTAACGTTGCTGCTGGAAAGGTTTATATGGTGTTTGTCTCAACTAAAAATTCTGCTTTGTTAAGATTTCGGTTTAAAAACATAATTAAATTAATTGTAAAATCATTATTTACCACGTCAATTTAAGGCTCGTGGAATCGTTTTTGGTACCGGCTTAAACACAGAGATCGGCAAAATTCGAACTGAGATGGCACAGACGGAAACGGAGCGTACTCCACTGCAGCAAAAGCTTGACGAATTTGGAGAGCAGTTATCGAAAGTATTCTTCATAGCAGTTTTTTTACCAAACTTTTTTATTTAAATTTATCACTTTTAAAATTGGAAACTATTATACAAAGAAGCTATTGACATTTTAGGTCATTTCAATAATTTGTATAGCTGTGTGGGCTATCAATATTGGTCATTTTAATGATCCTGCCCACGGTGGTTCATGGATTAAAGGTGCCATCTATTATTTTAAGATTGCTGTCGCTCTTGCTGTTGCAGCTATTCCAGAAGGTTACAGTATTCTATTCTCTCTTTATACTAAAGGATGAAAGGTCACAAAACTGAGTAATTGAGGAAGCTGTTAGAATATTAATCTCTTATTTTCGTATAAACTTTTTTTAAATTAAGATGTGCAATAAATGCTTAAAAGGAAGCAAAAACATTTTCCAACAAAATTGAAAATAGAAGTAGTAGTTGTTGTTAAAATTTTTTGTAAACAATTTAAATGTGAATTTTTGATGACCACTTGCTATTTTATAGGTCTTCCTGCAGTTATCACCACATGTTTAGCATTGGGTACTCGAAGGATGGCTAGAAAGAATGCCATTGTTCGTTCCCTACCATCGGTAGAAACTTTGGGATGTACTTCAGTAATTTGCTCAGATAAAACAGGAACATTAACCACAAATCAAATGAGTGTTTCAAAAATGTTTGTTGCGGAGAAAGTTAGCGGGGATGATATTGATTTTCTTGAATTCACAGTTAGTGGATCAACATATGAACCTTCAGGACAGGTAGTGATTGTTTTTTTCAATGAATGATAGTTATTATCTCTCATTTTACTTTGCCAAAATGATTAATGCACTTTGTTGATGAGATTATAGAAACGTGTGAAAAGGTTTTTAAAACTTGTAGAATATAAAATACCAAAAGAAAATAGACTTAATAAGAAGAAAAAAGTGGTAAAACTGCTTGCTTATAGAAGTCTTTTAGTTGCATTTTCAGTACCGGCATTATTAGTACTTAATTGCACGAGAAGATTTTAAAGTGTAATTCAATATTTTGAAGTGTGTTCAACTCATTTATTATGAAAAGTCCTGCTTAAACTATATCACAAGTAGTATGCATACAATCTAATAAAATGTTTCTCGAAAGCAGAAATTCACTAATTTTTTTAGGTATTCCATCATGGACGACAAATCAATTGTGCAAGCGGGGAATTCGAAACACTCACTGAATTAGCAACCATATGTGCAATGTGCAACGATTCTGCTGTGGATTACAACGATGTATCATGTTCTAAACATTTTCGTTCCAAACATTTAGGAATTTACAATTTTATATCAGAACACCTTAATAAAATATATGTAGATTTGTATATAAAAGACTTTTTCTGCGGTTTCCAAGATTTATTTCAAAAAAGCAACTTTTTTTTTCTACACTATTGAAGTTGGAGTGGAAATAATTATCACTAGCAATAATTAACATCGACTTTTTTTTCATTATTTGCTTTTTTCAGATAAAACACGTGTATGAAAAAGTTGGGGAAGCAACAGAAACAGCATTGGTCGTTTTGTCTGAAAAAATGAATGTTTATGGAACAAATAAAACAGGTTTATCACCTCGTGATTTGGGAAGTGTTTGTAATCGAGTAATTCAGCAAAAATGGAAGAAAGAATTTACATTGGAATTTTCACGGGATCGAAAAAGTATGAGCGTCTTTTGTGTGCCATCGTCTGGTGGATCCGGTGCGAAAATGTTCGTGAAAGGAGCTCCTGAAGGTAATTTTTCTTCTCATGAATTTTCACTTCGTTTTTATGTCCTCATTTTTTTCACTCATGCGTTTCAAGTTTTATGGAATGCTAAGCTTTCGAAACTACTAGATAAGTAGGAACATAGAATTTCTTACTAAAATAATTAACATGTACTCAAGTGTAAATTTCTATTTTGAAATAATTGCTTTCAAATCATATGTATTCAGTATTTTGATAGCAGCTTTATGTTCCATATATTTTAAGACGTGTGTTCGCTGAAACTGGAATTTTGAGAAAATTATATGTTCAGCAAACCTGTTGAAGGTATTTTCTGAACATATAATTTACTAAAAGTATTTTTGTTCTAGGAAATTAATTTTGGATAATAATATGCATACATTTATCGCAGTAAATTTAATTTTTCAATTCTTTTAAAAATTCATCCTCATTCATGATTATTTAGGTGTACTAAATCGTTGTACGCATGTTCGTGTAAATGGCCAAAAAATACCGTTAACACAAAAAATGATGCAAAAAATTGTTGATCAGTGCACACAGTATGGTACAGGACGTGACACTTTACGATGCTTGGCTTTAGGAACAATTGATAGTCCGCCAAATCCGAAGAAGTAATTTTCTTGATAGGAAAAGTCGAAATTTGTTCATTCGAAATGTATTGGCTTTATGCACAAGCTATAAATTTTAGAGAAAGAGCCAGAATATGACGATATCATTTATCATATTTTCGGTTTATAACTTACGTTCGTCATTTTTTATCTTAAAATGTCTTTGTAATTGTTTCTCTCTAATAATATTTCTGCAATCATTTAATTGTTAGTAATTTTTAGTTTGGATTTGGAGGATTCAGCACAGTTCTCAAAATACGAAAAAGACATAACATTTGTTGGTGTGGTTGGTATGTTGGATCCACCGAGATCTGAAGTTATTACTTCGATTAAGGAATGTCGTATGGCTGGTATTCGCGTTATCATGATTACTGGTGACAACAAAAACACGGCTGAGGCTATTGGTCGTCGCATTGGACTTTTCGCTGAGGATGAAGATTCTATTGGTAGTTTTTATTATAAAATCTAATTTTTAAAAATTTTTGTCAAAAACAAAGCAGAATGTCTTTTCACTTCACGTATAAAAATTGATATACTGCAGTAATAAGTCGTTTTGCCAGATTATCATTTTTCAGATCTATTTTTATTCAATAAAAATTCTTTTATTCACATATAATTAATCCGTTTATGTTTTCAAGAACAAGTTTCAGGCAAAGCTTTTACTGGACGTGAATTCGATGATTTGCCACCAGAGCAACAAAGTGAGGCATGCCGACGAGCCAAACTTTTTGCTCGTGTAGAACCTGCTCATAAATCTAAAATTGTCGAGTTTCTTCAGTCTCATGGTGAGATTACTGCAATGACTGGTGATGGAGTAAACGATGCTCCTGCACTGAAAAAAGCTGAGATTGGTATAGTATTTCTTTTTTAGTCGTGGATTATACAAAATTTTATTTGATATTTGTCCTTTTTTCTTGATTATTCAACTTATAATGTTGATTTTTTTTGTAATATCTCCCATCATTACTTTTTTTTTTGGAATTTTTGTTTTGGATCATTGTGGTAAATATATTGAAAGTTTTAAGAAGCATATATTTGGAAATCAGAAGATAATGACTTTCCTCTGTTAATTATCATAATTTTTTGCTTAAGGCATCGCTATGGGATCAGGAACAGCTGTTGCTAAGACAGCATCGGAAATGGTCTTGGCTGATGATAATTTTGCAACAATTGTAGCAGCAGTTGAGGAAGGGCGCGCTATTTATAATAACATGAAACAGTTTATTCGTTATCTTATTTCCTCAAATATTGGCGAGGTAAAAATAAATTATTATTTTCAAAAGCAAAGATTTGTTCTTTTGCGAGAAAGCATCATTTCTTATTTGGTTTTATTTACTTTTGTTTTTGTTTTTTCACATTAACTAAAAAAAGATTTTCTACTTTTTGGAGAAATGAATGATGAAAATAATGAGAAATGAATGTTGAAAATGTGTCAGCATTTTGATACCGAGCAGTTGATTTCCCAAAAAATCTTTTTCAAGTTTATCAATTTTATAACTTTTGCATGTTGTATTTGGTTACATTTAAGATATCACAGAATACGGTAACATTGCTTTTTGGTTATTAATATTATCCATCATTACTGTTGTGTTCTGGTTTCGCATGTTGTTAAGCTTTTGATTTTACTAAGTTCGTGAAGATAGTGAAGAAACACCAATGATATTTGATGAAACTTTTGTTTCCAGGATTTGAACATTTTAGACAAGTATAACCAAATATTTGAAAAAATTATGATTTTTCATCTTTAAGAAACTACATTTTTTAGGTCGTATCAATTTTCCTAGTAGCAGCTTTGGGTATACCGGAGGCGTTGATCCCTGTACAACTGTTGTGGGTAAATTTAGTGACAGATGGTCTTCCAGCAACTGCTTTAGGATTTAACCCACCAGATTTGGATATTATGGATCGACCACCACGTTCTGCTGGCGAATCATTAATTTCAAAGTGGCTTTTCTTTCGCTACTTGGCCGTTGGATGTAAGCTTCACTGCAAGAGATAACTTATTTTGTTTATGTAAAAATTCTTCATTCAAGAACTGAATCTAGTTCTTTCCAGCTGTACTTGTTTTTTACATAAAGCATTATTGTAGCAGGTACTTGTATTACTTATTATGTTGACCACTAACAGTCAGTAAATCGAAACATCTTCCTCTAGAGAAATATTTTTCAGTTTTGTATATTTAATCTTGATTTCTAGCATATGTTGGACTGGCAACTGTTGGTGCAGCGATGTGGTGGTTTTTGTTGTACGAAGATGGTCCACAAATCAGTTACTACCAGTTGACACACTGGATGCGATGTGAGATTGAACCAGAAAACTTTGCTGATCTTGATTGTGCTGTATTTGAAGATACACATCCCAATGCAATGGCACTGTCGGTTCTAGTCACCATTGAAATGTGTAATGCTTTGAATAGGTGAATAGTTTTTTTTTCACATTTCATGAAGAGGAGTTAGATTTTTACATCTGTTATCATTATTAATAGATTTTTGGATCTTTAATTTTGTGTAGAATTTGAAAATTTTATTTAAAGCACGAACTTTGATGTTTTTGTAAAAAACTTTTTGAAATATGTCCCTGAAGGTTCCAGTGCTTTTTATTTCTTTGTAGGCTTCCAAAAAACACCACTAGAATTCCTTCGTCAGTCCTTAAATTTAGCCATTCACATTTTGATGATTAACTTGTTTTACAGTTTATCAGAAAATCAGTCTCTTTTGGTAATGCAACCATGGAAAAATATCTGGTTAATATCAGCAATTGCGTTATCAATGTCACTTCATTTCGTCATCCTTTATGTGGAAATTTTGGCGACCATCTTTCAAATCACTCCGCTCACGTTGCCAGAATGGTTTGCAGTTCTGAAAATGTCATTTCCTGTCATTCTTCTGGATGAATGTTTGAAGTTCATTGCTCGAAACTACATCGACGGTGAGAGTGTTTGGCGTGGTGGTGATTATGAAAAACCGAGTAGATCACGTACCTTGCGTGTGATATCTACGTTTGCAATGTCTCTCATACTTTTTGTTGGTTACTTTTACTGGGTATTAAGACCATATTTACCACAGCTAATGCATGCTTTTGGTTATGGGCCACGACTAATTCCATATAACTCCCATTCACATTTACATTCTGATTTATGATGAATCCATAACTTAATTAACATCTTGTTTCTTTGTTTTGTGTGAATAATTTCGCTTCCCGAATTCTAATTTTTTTCGACATTGTTCGAATAGTTAAATAATCCTTCATGTATTATTCTTGGGGCTGCCACAAAAGTACAAAAAACAATCATGAAACTATCTTCATCTTTTGATTACCTTTTATCTTACGATCGAAAGAACTAGAAGGTAAGAGCACTGGATGATCAGATTGTGCTCATTGCTTCTGTCAAGTTTCGTTTTGTAAAAGTCTTTCATTTTTTGTTGTAGAAATTGATTATTAAGTGATTTAATAATAATTTGAAAGTACTGCTAGCGTTGGAACATTAATCATTGAAGTTTTGAATTCTTCTACATTTTCTTTCTCGCCGGGTCTGACTCTATCAAATTGAATAAAAGACTGTATCAAAATGGAGTTATTTCTTATGAAATTTGGAAGCGAAATGTACTGATTGGTTGTAAAATTGAAATTATCAAAAATGCCATGGTTAATTTACGTATTGTTTGTAAATGCTAAAAGTGCTCTTCTTTTGTTCCAATTACAACAAAGTTTCCCTTGTTACCTTGTTATCTGTGATCATAATGTTTGAGCCTACTAAATCTCTAAATAATTTTGTTTCGAGGGATCATATTAAGATTGGTTTCAAGTGTATTGCATTTTATAATAATTTAGTTGCAATTTGCGTACATAGAGATTAGTTCATGTTAATTAGAAGGTTCCGTGAACTTGTCTTGTATTTTAAAAGAGATTTTGTCCGGAAACTTTGATTTATATGCGCGAAATAAGTTAAGCCAGTGTGGTGCGTATAATTGTTCTCGCGAACAAGAAATATTTTGAATTTATTATTTACATTGAGTGCGTGATTAAGTTCTATTGTTTTTAGGTTTGTAACAAGCATTTTACTTTTTACATTAAATTATTTCATGGATGTTAATTATCGTATGTGTTTGTACATGTTATACGTTGAAAAAAAGGAGCTGCATGTATAACGAATTTCCAGAACTCCAGAGTGATTTACTTATCATATTCCAGAATGAATTAGTGAGTTCAGGATCGTTGATGAATGAAGAAGAGAGCATTAGATAACATTGCATTGTGAATGTATTATCGGTCAGCGACTGTTTTAAAGTTTGGTGTGGGCATTAGATTTTGTAGCAGAAAAAGATTTTTTTTAATTTCTAATTCTTCGCTAACCTAGTATGTCCCTCCCGTGACTTTTCCTTTCAGCGCAGTTGAGAATTTAGGTTTACGTAATAGATAATTGCTGGGTACCATTTAGACATATGCAGTGTGCATGAATTACTGGTATGATTGCTACTACTAACGAAAATGGTTAATTTATATATCACGTAAAGACTGCGACTGCTGTGGTGTGACTGTAATAAACTAGCCTGATTTCAGAAAAGTGTTATAAAAGTAAAGTAGAGATCACTGAGTACAAACTTATATTGACAAGTTCGTGTCTTAATTTCTGGACAAGCAAGTTAGGAATTAGAGAGAAAGCTCAGGAGTCGTCTTATTTACGCTACTGTTGCTTTTCTCTTGATAATGCCAGACTTCTGTAAACAAATGGACGGTTAAAAATTGCATAGGGTAGCGTTTCTTTTTCACGTCTTCACTTGTACATAAAACCAATTAGAAGAAATTGCATGATGAAAAATGTAGGATGCGAGGAATAACTCAGTATCCTTTGATAACTGTGACGGTATCAGAAGTATGGGGTCGGAAGAAATGCTATGAGTCATCTGAAAAGTTTGATCAAAGAGTGCGATGTGGAAATGGTAACTTGCTCGATTTTATTTCAGTTCTTGTCGAGGATAAGACAAAGAAGAATTTGTGATTGCACAAGAAGGAAGTACACACGCAAATATGAGACGAAGATTGATGCAAAGAGACGGCAAAATTGAGTACTGTAATCGATAGAATGGAAGTATCCAAAAATGCTTATTACTGAGTATTAATTACTGTATGTGATTAGTAGCACAGAAAGTTAATTCTGTTGTACAGTTTTAATTTTCATTCATGTTTTTAACCTTTCAGTCTTTGTGATAAAAATTGCTGAAAAATTTCAATTTGTACTCAATCTGTTCGATTGTATGCCTACGGTAGTATATATTTTCTGTGCTATTTTTAATTATTAGAAAATTCATAGGACTTTTTTTCATCGATTCTTTTGTTGTATTGCTTTGACTTTGAAATAATAATTTTATAGTCGAAAAAGAATGATACCTTATATAATTTACCATTTTATATGAAAAAGAATGAAACAAAAGTTTTCATTACTAATTAGATGTATTTGAGCGGGTAATTCCATGAATTACTACGAAAAGCGGGTAATTCTATCAATTGTTATGAAAGAAAAAATTTTCAGCCACAAGTATTTTCGGGTAATTTTGGTAGAAAAGAATAGAAGTTGTAGAAATAGAATTGGAATTAAGCAGATTCTCTTCATTATTCCATTAAAGTATTCTTAACTGTTTGTAGATTTCACGTAATGATAATGAGAATTTGCAAAACTGATTAGAAATCAACGTCAGTTCAAAGTGCAATCTGAGATGAAACATGCTTTACTGCTTAAGAAAAAGAATTATATTCGTCTCTTTGCGCTTTACTTCCTATTCAGTTATTGTTAGCTCCTTACATATTATTATAACTGTAATAAAAGTAGTAATGTAATAATGAACAGAAAATGGTTGCTGGATGTTTTTATTATTTCTGTATTACATATTAGAATGATATTTGTTCTCTCTTTCAAGTTTAGTTTTGTTTTTATTTTTTTGTTTTCACTTTTATAAAATCATTTAGTTAGATTAAAAAACATTTATCGTCCATTCTTACTACTATCCACTAAGCAGCCAAATCCTCACGTTACTATAGCATTATATAATATCAGCATGTTTTCTCGCTGATATTTGAGGTTAAACAGTGCAAAACTGAAAATGGTAACATATTGTTTTATTAACTGCTTACCGACTAGATCATTCAGGGTTGAATCTGATTGTGAGGTTTTCTGTGTAGTAAAAGGAAAAAAGTATGCGACATATACAGTAATGCTCATTTCATTCTACAAGAGTAAAAATGTTCACTTACAATCTTTCACTTCGGTACTGTGTGGAATAATGCAGAAGTCATTTAATCTAAGAATCTTCACAAAAAATAACGTTTCTAATTGCTCTCGCGCATATTTCTCATCTTTACGCATTCGCACTCCATCTGAAGTACAGAATGACAAGTTTTCTTTCATCAATAAATGCAAAACTGAATTCCTTGAAAAACACACTACTTATAGACAATGCATGACTAAAGCGATTTATCAGGCACGAAACTGCCATAATTTCTTTTCTCTTCCAACAATGAGAAAGTGAAATTGGAAAATTTCTGGAGTGAAATGATCTTTTTAACAAAACTAACAAGCTTATCAATACTAGATGAACACTGCATCACACAATGCAACTGACAGCTTTGAGTCTGATAAAGCGAGATTCAAGCCCGATAGTAACTACTTCAAAATTGTAGTTGGTATTTAATATTTTCAAAGAGAGTACAATAATAATAAGCAGACCGTTAATTAGTTTAGTTGGGATTTTAAAAATTACATCTGAAATCCTTTACAGTTGGGTCGTTGAGTTTGTCATTTTGTTGGTCATCTATCTTTGCTGCATTGCTTAATTTTCTATTATTGAGTTGAGAAGCACATTTACTTGAATAGGACAATTTCTTTGAGGAGATATAGTTATTGAATATTTGTGTCTCGATATTGTCGCTAATGTTTGCTTTTGAGATTTTTTACTTTAGCTATAAAGTCAGAAATACTATGTTGACATTGAATCAAAAGTTTTTGTTTCAGATTACTACAGAAAATATGTAATTTACATTTGCTGATCAAAAAACAATTAATCCGATTGTTTTCACTCTTGTTGAGGTTTATCATTTTTATTTCTTCCCTTTAATTTTTGCTGCTGTGAACTTGTTCTAATTTGCCTTTCTGTATCTGCAGGTATGAAATTACTTTTCAGCTGTAGGCTTAACAAGTTAGCTGTATTTTCTTGTCTCATGCATGATAAGGTGTGCGAGATTTTGTGTCGCATAAAGTAGTGTGCCTCATGAATAGCTTGTCATGTAATGCTAATTGCAGCATGATGCGATACTTACTTCCTCGTCGGAAAGGCAGCATTTTGAACATAGTGTTGTTGGTGTTATTAACAATGCTTTTAATAACATTTTACGTACATGATCCGTTACGATTTCATTTACCTACACATCACGTATGTATTTTGATGAAAAAATGCTGTTTTGATCGAATTCTGTTTTTTACCGAAAGTTAGTAAGATGTAGGTATAAAATTACTAAGATTATGCTTTTACTGATACCGTCATTGTATGTATTTACTGAATGCAAAGTTTTAATCTCAACTAAATTTGACTGAAGTATTTCATAAAATGCGCAGTCTAGTACACAGTTTTAAAATTTTTAAGTCTTCAATTTTTGTTTAGGTACAACCGACATGGTTTAAAGATATTCAGTCTTATGTGAAACCGGATTACTCCAAGAGACGTATTGGTCCAGGTGAGTATGGCACAGGTGTTTATTTAAGAGGAAGACATAAGCTGTTGGGAGAAAAGGATATGAAGAAATGGTTCATGAATGTTGCTGCAAGGTAACATGTACTTGTCAGAATAGAAGAATAGGATTAATTGCACTTTTACTATAGATATGTTTTTGTGAAAGAAATATTGGTTATCGTAGTAAATATTGGATTTAGGTGAAAAATATTACTCATTAATTCTTTTTAATAAAAAATGTCATTTGATGGTTGTTTATATCGTAGTAATAGTATTCATTCATAAGAAGATGATCGTTAAAAAATGGTGTTGCATTGAACCATGGAATGTTTATCTTAAGAAACACTTCTCTAGACTAGCTGTCATAAATTTTCAATCATTGGTATCTGTGATAATAAAGATATCTTTACTCTTCCACATTAAGTAATATGTTCACTAGTTCTATAAGTTTTGTTGAATGATGAATATTTGTTTTATTTGCATCATACTGCATCATACCATGAAATAAATGCTATGCAAAAAGTAAAGAACATAACATTTAGTACAGACTTTCTTGCCCTTTAATGTCATCGAAAGCTAGCATTTTAAAATTTCACTCTAAAAGATATAAAGTAAAATTTTCATTATTGTACTATTTTCATTCAAAATATTGTGTGAATATCCTGAGATTTGATTCATCATGAGAAGGTAAATAGCTGGGGATTTAGATCAAATGATTGCCACTTATTACTGCAATTTCAGTTTTTATTATAATAAGCATGTAATTTTAGTGATATTATGTCATTGGATCGTAGCTTACCTGATTATCGTCATAAAGAATGTCGTAAGATTGAATATTCTAATGATTTGCCAACCGCGTCTGTAGTGATCATTTTCACCGACGAAGCATGGTCTCCATTATTGCGGACAGTACATTCCGTACTGAACAGATCACCATCAAGATTGCTTCAAGAAGTGATTCTGTTTGATGATTATAGTGAAAGAGGTTTATTCTCACTTATCGACTTTGCGTCATCAGATATTTACTGTCATGTTTAGTGCTCTTAACATTCATAATAACACTTGTTTTTAATTTAGTCATCAAATCATACAGTTTTCGTCATATAATGTCTCAATTACATTAGAAAATTGTACTCTGAATAGTTTTTGTCCTCAAATATTAGTTTTTTTTTGTATCTGATATTATGTAAATCGATAACATGTATTAGTTTAAATTTTAAGTGCTTAATACAACTGTAACACTTTCATTTACTAAAGGTTTTTGTTATAGTATTATAATTACTCTCAGTTTTTTCTAGAACTGAGGTGTTTCGCTATGCCATTCGATTCAAATGATTAATTTAAGGCTGTTTGAACAAAAAATTTCACAAAATAGATGCTCAAATAACAACAGGCTTTATTTAACTATTGTAATTGGAGTTTCCGTTGATACCTCGTATTCATAAACTTCAGGTGAATTGAAAAATAAGCTAAAGGAATATATCAAGCGCTTTGGTGGTATAGTGCGTCTGAAGCGAGCATCAAAACGGCAGGGTTTAATAAGAGCAAAATTAATGGGTGCAGAAGAAGCAAAAGGTGATGTGCTCGTGTTTCTCGATTCTCACTGTGAGGTAACAGAAGGATGGTAGGTTTTATTTTTGCAAGCATGTACATCGAAATTTTTCTTAGCTTCAGTATATTTTTAATATTATACATATTCACATGTCTGTTGTCTTCAGATTTTGTCACTTATTAATCATAGCTTAGTGAAGATCATTAAGAACTGTGCTTTCATCGGACTGAGTTGCATGATGTGCACATAAGGCTAAACTTTTTTGGCAATAAAATGGAATCAGAATAGGATTGCAGATTCTGTTAACACCATACTCTAGGCTTGAACCGTTGTTAGCGCGTATAAAAGAAAATAGATCAGCAGTTGTATGCCCTGTGATTGATTACATATCACCAGAAACAATGTCGTATTCGGGTCAAGAGCTTGTATCCAATGTTGGTGGATTCTGGTGGAGTCTTCATTTTCGTTGGGATTCTTTATCAAACAGCGATCAAAATACTGATTACACTAAACCAGTTCGGCTCGTTTTTTGATAGTATTTTTGTATTGATTTTTTGAATTTAATGTAAGCCTTATTTTGTTAAATCTTTTGTTAACTGTGATCATTAATGTTTACATTAATGATCATTATTCGTTAAAAATACTTCAGCGTATAATCTTCGGCGAACATCTTTAGATCTCCAACCATGGCTGGTGGTCTTTTAGCTACAGATAGAAATTATTTCTTCGAAGTTGGTGGATATGATCCTGGAATGGATATATGGGGTGGAGAAAATCTTGAAATTTCGTTTCGGGTTGTTATCAAAAATTCCAGTAATTTGAGGATATTAGAATTTTGATGAAATTCATTCACGAATCATTCATTGATAGCATTAAAATTATGTTTCACTGCTAAGTATATTTTATTACTGCAAGATTAATTTGTAAAACAGTGTTAATGCTAGGTATGGATGTGCGGTGGTAGTATTGAAATCATTCCTTGTTCACACGTAGGCCACATATTCCGTAATGGTCATCCTTATAATATGACTGGGCCTGGAAATAATAAAGATGTACATGGCACTAATTCAAAAAGATTAGCAGAAGTATGGATGGATGATTACAAACGGTTCTATTATATGCATCGAAAAGACTTAAAGGTAAACTCATAGATATGTCTTTTAGACATCCTGGTTTTGAAATTTACTCATCATTTTCAAGAGTTCTGTAAGGTCACATAGACATGTAACTTGTCTATGTTTTGGATATACTGGTAGGTTTAGAATTCATTACTTTTGGCTTTTCATATCCGTTTGATTTTGAAAACACTAGTTAGGTTTTCAAATACGTTATTTTATAAAATTTTTGCAATATACATATGATATAGATTCACTTTTCTGAGGGGTACGAAGTCTCATTATCAAAATAGGTGTAATGACACAGTACAACATTATTTTTTGAATATCTCAATCCCTCGCGTGAATTAAATTATATTTCTAAAGGAATTTATAATTCACAATAACGAGTTTATTTATCAATTTGTGACGAGCAGTTAATTTCAAGATTATCATTTAATAGTGAAAATATTCTTGAAATCAACTAAAATTTATTGTGTTCAGTTGTATAACAGATCGTGAGTATTTTTCTTTTGAGCAATGGATGCAGTCGCGAGTACTTTGCTTTTCAGGAAAAAGATGTTGGTGATCTTTCGGAACGAAAAGCGTTACGTAAACGACTAAAGTGCCAATCTTTTAAATGGTATCTGGATAATATTGCGAGCAATAAATTCATTTTAGATGAAAATGTTACGGCATTTGGAGCGGTAATTTTGTGCTCTTGCCGGATAAAATATGAAATATGAGAAAAGAGGATATTAAAAACAATGTATTTTTAGGTAGTAAAAATTTTCAATCTAAATGGGAAGAAAATGGGTAATTTTTATCATGAAACTGCTTTATTCATGTTTAAGCGTGGTTGGTAGCATTAATGATCTTTAATTGTTTATTTCAATTTTTCTCTACAGTTCCGAAATCCATCAAGTAATCTTTGCCTGGATACTTTGCAACGAGACGAAAACACTGTTGTATTTATGGGTGTATTTTCATGTCAGTCTGGAGGAAGTCAAAGTCAGGTAATAGTTAAAATATTTGCATTGGAAAAAGATTTTGCAATGGTAATTTGAATTCAAATAAACTCAAATTAGCTTATAAAAAAACTCAGTATAATTCAGAAAGGTTTGTTGCATATGTGCTCTAAAATTTTGGTTGAATAGATGTTTAGTTTTCTATATTTAGCTTTTTTCACTGACTCATGATAAAAAATTACGGCGGGAGCTGACCTGTGCCAAAATCGATCCAAATACTGTAGTGAACAACAAAGCACCTGTTCAGATTGTGATTTGTCAACATGGAGATGATGATTTATGGACTTTAATGGTTCTGACTTTTCACATTTTATCTTGATTTTTTACTTTCTCGGTTTGGTGAGTAAGAAATCTTAGAAAAACCTTATTTGCGTTATTTTATCTGTAGTCTGGATTAAATTTCTGCTTAAAAAATCTGGAGGTGATTGAAGACAAAATAACGAACTGCACAGAAGAACTTAGTTGTAGATCAGTTGGTTGGTTGAAAAGGGATAAATTCATAGGAACTTTTCAGAATGGGAAGCTGCGGAATGAAAATGTAAAACTTTGCTTAGACGTATTTGGGTTGAAAAGTGGAGATGATATTGTCGCACGTCCTTGTGCGAATGATATGAATGAAACGCAAGCATGGGAATTGTTGGAAAATGAATTCTGAATTTTAAAATTCATAAACTTGTAATATTTATTTACCTATCAAAAAATACTTTAGTTTTATGGATTGATTTTTCTTTAATACTAGTTTATTGTTAGTTTGATGCTTTTATAAGGATTAGATTATATTACTTGCCAAGTCACATGAGGGACTTTTTTTCTTATACTAGTTGCAATATATGTATCCAAAATTAGTGCTATAAATATGATAGTAACAACTATTCAGAAATACAAAAAAAAATTATCGTTTTACCGATAATTTCTTATGCATTGCTATATAGAACTTCTTGATTATTATTTGCTTAAGATTAATAAATCAAATAAGTTTCGTATTTTCAGCTATTTTTCGTATTTTCAGCTAAATTTGTGTTCAATAAGTTGTTGATTATTAGTTTTTTAAAAGACTAAATTAAACATAATATGCATAATGCATTTAAAATCGATGAATGAAATCAAAGTGAGCATTTAAAAACATACTGGTTAAATGTATTGCTCAGTCAAATTCTTTGCCTTTATTTTGTGAAAGCTATCTGTTACGCAACGAATCAGTGATTATTGAATAGTAACTTTTTTTGTGTCATGCTGTAATCTTGTTGAAAATGAGATAAGCTGAGACATGCAAATGAATCTTGAAGGATACTGAATAAATTCATGAGTTTGATCAAGTCAAATGAAAATCAAGTTTGAAACAGTACTTGTATTTTTTTGTTATCTTTGATTGCTGTATTTTAATCTGTTGAATCCTTGTGCTTCACATATTAAGTAGTATTTCATAAATTATTCTGATGCGTTTAAGTCTGTTTTCACTCCAACATTAATTTCATTCCAACCTTTCCATTGCTTTTTGTACATAAGCAAACTGGGTTTTGTTAGAATGAAATAAAAATTTGTTGGTCATCAATACTTTGATTTTTTTATCTTTTTCTTAGAGAATCAGGTTAAATCATTTCTATTCTTTCCGTTCAATGAATTTTCATTTATTTATTCGTTCTGCATGCGATTTGACATACATAAGCTTGAATCGTTTCAATTAGCGCAAGTCTTAATTTCAGTGCCCACAAATAGTATTCCCTTTATTTAATCATCTACAAATTGTTACAGTTAACCAGAAATCTCTTTCTATAGCAGTCGTGGAAAAAATAAAGATTGGAGTGAGATTATTTTGTGTTCTTTTATTTATTTTGGTAGTGCACCACCCTTGCAGAATTAGAGGCCTAATGACTATTCCTGAAATTTGTAACTGAGTTCTTTTACTTTATTACTCACTTAAGGAGACTGTCAGAAGCCATATTTTGATGCAAAGACTTGTCATCTGATTTTCAGATTATTATGAATCATTCATGTGTATATTAAATGTTTACAGATATTTCAGGTACGATGATCCTCACTTGGAGACTTTTGTAACATTAAATTCTGCACTCAACTGAATAAGTCACTCAAACCAGCCATTTTCTTTAAAATTCTTACATTAAATTCAATAAAAAATGTAATAATGTCTTATTGTGTACCCTCTTGATTTATAGGGTTATGTTTTGTTATTGTGTTGAATCTTATTTTAGTAACTATATTGTTTGAAAGATTTTAGTTACTAAAAATGATTCATTCACATTTAGAACTAACTCTCCAAGTAATGCACATTTTTGGAAGGTTTGCTTGAAAGGTGTAATGATGACTAAGAAGATCATGATTAGGAGTTTTAGGTCATATGAGGCATGCTAGATATCTTTTTCAAGAGCTGAAATCTAGGTTGATCTTGTAGTAGCATCGATGTCCTTGCACTTTTTACCTTTATTGTCATCAGGTGTAAGTCCTTTTATCAAGTAAATTGTTATTTCATGTGTTTCATGTCATAAGCTGCCAAATTTTTGCTTTGTTTTTGCATCATTTTATCGTATAAATTTCAGTGGATGATTTCGAATTTGTTTTGCAGTTTTTAAAGAATCTTTTGATTAAAAAAGAATCTTTTTTTTTCTAGGAACCAGAATTTAAGTTCAGGAAGCTCCACATACGCGAATTTATTCACCTAAAATGGCTGATATTGGAACTGGTATCGATAATCAGAAGGAAGAGCCTGTTAAATACCCACTTGTAGTGCAGTACTGCGGAGGTCGTTTTTGTTTTTCATATTTCTAACAAAAAACGAAATAGTAGGAATTTAGCACTTCTGAATACTGTAGTCCACATAAATATGTAAGCGTTAGTTTTATATTGCAGCATGCAGTATGCCACTTGAATACTGCGAATACAGTGGCGTAACGGATAGGTGCCTAAAATGGTTAGAAACCAATTTGCCTTCAGAATTCGAGAAACTGGATGTTACTGCTTTAAAAGAATCAAGAGAATCAGCAGATGCCGAAAAAAAACATCAGAAAAGAGGCGGAAAGGTAGGTGTTTTTACTTTTATCGTTAATTGAGGATATGAGGGAAATTTGATTTTTCTAAAAATAATTTATTAGGTCTATATTTTTGTATCATGAAGTAAGCATTCTGTATTGTTTTATTTTGTCAGTTAATTTGCATATTGTGTTTTTCATAGCAAAACTTAAAAATAAATAGTTATCAACTAATAAAAAAGTAAGACATTACGAAGGCGTGAAACTGGGATTTTTCAGTGAAGTATCAAAGAAAATCATTCAAAAGTGCAAGAATAGATGTTTTAGAATGAAATGTGATCGAAAGTTTCAATATGTAGATGTGAAAATTTTACTAAAATTTGAAAATCTCTAATAAGACAAATATTTTTTTGACTGGTTAGGGTTCGAAAATTGGGGTCGAAAAACATGCAGCAGAAAAAAAGAATACGGCAACCAGAATCACGTTACAACGAGCACCTAGGGGAAAAAATAAATTTGTTACAGTTATTAAAGGATTGGCATCGTTTGGTAACTTTTTATTTTTATTTTTGTATATCTCGGTCGTAAGTAGTTTCTGATCAAAGATGAAGCAGATGAGCTACAGGAAATCGACATTTATGACGAACATAAAATGGATATATCACTGGTGCGATTGAAGGGGAAATAATTTCATTAGTTAATTATAAATCCGTTACTTTCAGCAATTGTTTCACATATAACGAGTACTTCAGATTAATATGTAGTGAAACTAGCACCAAACTTTGTTTTAGTTATGTTTGGTTATCTTATTTTTCAGTTTTGAGTCACTGAAATCATTTTTCTACATCTACTTGCAGATGTGGATTTGAAAGCCGCTTCTAAAATGTTTGCTGGGCGCTTTGCATGTGGTTCGTCGGTAACTGCATCTGATGAAATAGTTGTTCAAGGTGATGTAAAAGATGAAATAATAGATATAATCGAAAAAAAGTGGCCACATATTGAAAGTAATGTAATCGAAGATCTTGGTGATCAGAAACGTTAAACATTCGAAGACATCACATCAAATATATTGACTCTTATGATCATATTGTTTTGTTTTTCCTTCATTTATTAATTATTATGTTACTGATGGCTGGACAAAATCTGTGAATTAATCAGTCAAGTGATCAGTTTGAAATTCGGATAACTGTGGACAATAATACGCATAGTAAGAGATTTCCAAGATCGGTATTTTTTATGTGAAATTTATATGCATACTGCATCGTATTTGTATTTTTTGATGTATTGTTACGCATATGTGGTGGCAACCTTCCTTTGTACAAAAATTTTTGATCAACTTTTGATTGGTGCAAGATTTGTTTCAAAGTTATGGCTTTTGTTATGCATGTAAACGGTTATTTTATATCAAGAATTTTCGATTTTTAGGACGCTGTTCTAAGAATTCTGTTCTGAACGTGCTATACGGGTTCTTGATACACTTTATCAGCTATTATTTGTATCGCTCGAGATTTTGATTCTGAGTTTTCCTGTTCAAAAATTGTTTCTATATATTATGGATGACTATAAAGTTCTAAAAAACTAAGGTTACCGAATACAAATTTCTGCAACTTGTTTGTTATATCATATTACATATTACAATTCAATGTTTTATATGTGTAAGTAGATTTAAGTCGTGCATACATACGAGTTTCTCTAGAATCTGATCTAACGTTGTGTAAATGAATTTTGTTTTGGGAAATTTTAGGTATTTATATCAGCGTTATCATAAGTTTGTCTTTAAGCTTGTCAGAGGAGAAGATCCATAACTTCCTCAGAGAACTTTATTTAGAAATTATTGGTACAAAGAAATCATGATTTATTAAGCAGTTGTGGTACTTTCTGCAAATACTGACAAATTTGTTTCATGATTTACTGGAAGTAATGTTAAATTGTCGTGTTTTCTAAAGCTTTAAGTTGTATTCCAAACTATCGATTGCAGAATTTGGTTCCATCTTCACATACTGGGTGATGTCTGCATTCTGAGCTGGCGTTTGCATTATGGACAATAGCAAAATGGTTCGTAGTTTTTTTGTCCTCCAATTTTGAAAGCACATTCTTTCTATGTCAAGAATTATTCTAATTTTAGCCTTTAAAGAATGCTTTCGAGTCTCGTAAAATCCTTACAGGAGCTGTTTTTTGAAATTTTGCGCCGTAAAGTGCATATTTTTTGTCACGTGAAAGAAAGTGCGAACGTTCTAGAACTGAAAAAAATTGTCGAAGGAATTTTAAAAGTATGTGCTTTGTGTTAATTATATTTTCTGATATCGACATTGCTTTTAAGTCCTTTTCTTAACGTTGAAAAATGTATTGAATTGATTTCATTTATTCTATGAAATAAATGCCGGATAAAATTGTCTTTTAGGTGCCGGTTAACAAACAAGTCTTGAAGAAAAGGAGCGAAGATGGATTTTGGCAAACTATCGAAGATGGTCAGACTCTTTGTGAGTGTGGCTATACTCCACTGAATTCACGTGCTCAAGCACCATCGCCATTAGCGCTAGTTGTAACGAATGGTTTGATGTAGACATGATTTGGAAAACAAAATTTTTAAATTCATCCCATGAAAATTTAATAATATTATATTACATCCAGTTCTACTGAATAAAAAAACTTTTTACTCTCATTTATTATTATATGACTCTCTGGTTTCGTTTGTATTTTAATAATTTATTGGAAGTGGTTTGATTTTTTTAATATTAAAACAAACAAATAGATAGAAATCTATATTTTCAATGTGTTTGGTTTGATATTCAGTTGTTCATTTACATATATCCGTGACTACAAATTTCTCTGAATGTTCGCAAAGTTCTTTCTGTGACTTAGGTGATTTTGTTGTATGGCATATTAATAATTTCAATTTTAGAAGAAGAAGATGTTATCATCGAACCGCTTTCAATTCCACCACCTGTACCAGATGCTATAAGGCCTGAGCAAGCTGCTACGAACGAACAGTAGTGAAATATTTCGTCTGTTGAAATATATTGAGACTTGTAAACTGTAGTTGCGTTCTGTATTTTATGTTATTTATAATTTTTCTTACTTATTCAGTCTCACAATTTACTCAGTTTCCAATAAATGTTTTACTGTAAACATAGAAGCTCGTTGTTTTACATATTAATTTTCTGTGATCAGAAAGAGACAATAATGAAGTGTATTCATTAGCATCGTTCGTTTTACACATTTTATTAGATTTTAAAAAGCTTTGAGTAGGCCAATGGTTGCTTTGTATGTGTAGTAGCACGAAAGAAATGGGAGTAATGATGCTTTCAGAATCCCCGTAAATAAATAAAATTTTATTCCCGGAAGGATTTTGTTTTGTTCTATTGTTTGACTCAGCTGGTCTTTTACACTTATTTCGTCTAACGTTTATCTTGTTTTATTGCAGCAATGGAAACAATTTTGTCTAGGGCCAAATTTCTGTTTCCATATTTTTGATGCATATTTTCGGAAGTGCTGTGATTTATCTTTAACTGTTTTCGTAAGTGCTGTTTCATTTTTATTTTCGTAAGTGTTGTGCTTTATTTTTAATTTGATTTTATTGTTCTCTTTGTTTAACGCATTGAAACGAAATTCTTGCTGATAAAGTAATTACCTTATATTATTTTCTGCTTGTTCAAAATCTTATCACCAATGTCACCGCTTACTTCTTTTCTCTTCTCAACTCTTGTTTAGATTCTGTAGCAATTTTATGCTGTTCACAGATTTCTGAGGATTTTGAGTTGTAATTATCAGGTGGTCAAGAAATGATTAGAGGAAAACGAACTTTTAATGCTGCATTTGATAGAGATCAGGATATCATTGTTGATTATTTCCGACAACATTTGGATAAAGTGCTAGATTCATCTATTGCTGAGAAGCTGTTATTACCAAATGATGTGTTCAGTGAACCTAAACGTATCGTTCTGGTTAGTTTTTGAACTTGTCTAATTAAAGAAATTAGTTTTTAGGTGATGAAGTTGTAATTCAGATACCAGTACCTGCAATTTTTGTAGTGCTTTAAATTTGATAGTTCTTGTTTTTAGTTATAAATAGAAGAAAAAAGAATTTGAAATTAGAACTGCAGTAATTTCAGTTTTATACGCTTTGCTGATGATTATTTTCATCAACATATTTCATCTGTGATTCATTTAGTTATCGAGAATGTTGATTTTTATCGTTTAGTTGACATGCATAAAATTTTTTCATTTACAGGACATTGGAACAGGTTTTCTTCATCGGCGATATGAACTTAGTGGTAATATACCGAAATTAGAGGACATAAAACACTTCGGACTAAATTCGAAATTAGTCAAAAATTTTGAAATTATTAATGGAAAGCCAATCACTTGTGAGCAACTGTCGTTGTACGGTATTATCGGCAAATATATCGATCTTTGCGCTGCAGAATTGAAATTTAATTACACAGTACGTCTCGACTAGTTATTTTTTTTAGAAAATTATTCTTAGGCTTAGTCAGAAAAATGAGGTCAAGGTAAAGCCTTCTTACCATTATTCGAGTAAATTATGTTTTTATACCTTGGAAAAGAATGCAAGCTTGTTTGAATTAGAATCACTACTTTAGCCTTTATATTGCCTGCATGCTCTCAATCACATTATACGTTCACGAAACTTGATAATAGAAAACAAACAGTTTCTGCAGAATTGTCGCGAAAAGGTTGGCATTATGTTAATAATCAAAAATTATCAGGAGATTTGGATGAGTTTTGTTATGTGGACTCTGCTCATAATATTATTGATCTGAACTGCTTTGGCTGCAGTGACTCTGAATTTTTTGGTTGACCAATCTTGGGAGATTTTTTTAGCTTTATTTTACCCAGAACAGAGAGCACATGCATATTCGTCACTTGTTTTGCGAAATTCATTCATTTTAATAGGTTTTCTAAGTTTATAGCATAAAAATAATGATGCTAAAAACACATATTTGAAATTTAGGGAGCACTTACTGAAGATGACATTGAAAATACTCGAGATCAAGGATTATCTCGTCCCAAAGTCCTTATAATTTGTCCAATGAAAAAAGATGCTTTCACAGTTATAGAAACTTTTCGAATCCTAGTTTTTGGAGATTCGGAAAAGCCGTTTGTTTCTAACTATCGCCGTTTCAAGACGGAATTTGGTGATACAGGGTTCAGAATATCGGAAAAACGAAAAGTTGCTATTCTTAAAAATCTGATCATAAAAATTATCATATGTTCAGTAATGTCTTTGTTCAAAATATTTCAAAAAGGTTTCTTTCAGTATTTTAAAAATATTTTCAGGTTTCAGATGAATATAGAAATCTGATGAGCGGAAATATTGATGATTGTTTTCGGATTGGTGTTGCAGTCGCAAAAAAGAGTCTAAAACTTTATACGGCTTTTGATGATTCCGATATTTTGATTGCTTCACCGTTGGGTTTGCGAATGATTGTTGGTGAAAATAATGAAGATGGTGACAAAGGGGAAACTGATTTTTTAGCTTCAATAGAAATTTTGATTATTGACAAGGTGACTCATGTATATATGATTGAAACACTTTGTATATTTTTTGATACATTGAGGGGAACCAATGACAGAATTTTAGGCAGATTTGTTACTAATGCAAAACTGGGAGCATTTGCTGAATGTCTTGAGCAGTCTGCATAAGCGGCCGAAAAAACTCGCAGTTGATATATCACGAGTTCGTTCGTGGTGCCTTGAACAGTATTCTAAACTTTACAGGTAAATGCGTTATCGGAAGCTGTAAGCTTACAGAAAATTATTTTTCCAGGAGAATATATTGAATCAATAAATAATGTTTAGACACACTATAATGATATCAGAAGAACGTCATGCGGAATGCGATGCTGTTTTCGCTTTTTATTGTCACAATTTTGCTGGGTTATTTAAATTGCTTCCACCAAATGAAGGTCTGCTGGATAAGGTATTGTTCTCAAAATTAAAACAAATTTGGGCTGATTATATTAATTGTCTTACTAATTTCTCTTAGCTGTTCTGTCACTTTTTTTGATACTAGTTTTGTATCTTTGTTTCATTTATTATTTGATACGTAGTTTTACTGTTTAACGCAGTAACGGCAGTAAAGAATAATTTTGATTCCCGAAAAATGAGTTTTCAATAAGCATTAATATGTGGGTATTTTAGATAGAAATTCATTACTGTCAAGAATTGCAGCAAATCGAAGTTGACAGAGCCGAAGATCAATCTGATGCTCGATTTAAATTTTTTAAGGTGAAGTGCATGTTTTAAAATCTTGTTAAAATATTTTAAAGCTGAAGTTGTAATTATTTTTCAAGTTATGCATGTGCATAATATTGAAATTGAAGTAAGTCAAATTAATGTTACAGGAAAACGTTTTGCCCAAATGTGAGTTTGGTGCTGCTGTTTTCATCCCTTCGTATTTCGACTTCGTAAGAATTAGAAATTATCTTAAAAATGAGAACGAAAGCTTCGTCCAACTTCATGAATATGCGAAAGAAGGAAAAGTTAGTTTATATCGATTAATGCTCCGAAATGTGGTAGACATTCCTATTCTTTCATCTATGGCTCATCATTATAATAATGGCTCTTAAATTCGAAATGCCTGCATAATTTGCTATTTAATTATTCTAATTCAAAAAACAATTACCTTCATATAAAAGAGAATCAGACAGCTTTATACTGTATCGTAAGTTTGGTCAAGATAGGCTTGCAGTTTGTTTTTCCAAAAATATCCTGAAGCATTAATGATGGATTAGGAAATATTTCGAAGAATTATGAAATTTGGTCTTGTCAGCTTCATGTTAAAAATAATATTCAGGTAGCAAAAGCTCGTGCTCTATTTTACAAGAAGGAAAAGAAAATTATGCTGATAACTGAAAGGTTTCATTTCTACCGGCGATATAATATCAAGGTAATCGGAAAATATGGATGAATGCTAAATTCAAAGAAGAAAGATTGTTCAGTGCTTCAAATATTGGCAGTTATCATTTGTTCCGATCAAATATTTATAAACGTTACTAGATTAAGGATCTTTATTGACGTTATTGTTCATGACTTCAACTTCATTACTTGGAGTGAAAACTTATTATTACAATTCTTCTTGTTTTATTTAACTTCTAAATATTTTTTAAATTTAGGGCATTAAATCGCTTATTTTTTATCAACCACCGGCGCAGTCCAGATTCTATTATGAAATTATTAATCAAGTGAATGAAGATTGTGCACATGTTCGCGTGCTGTATACAAAATTTGATCTTGTTCGCATGGCTAACATATTTGGTGATCGCTGCATGCAGAAAATAATGTCATCTGGAAAATCTATGCATGCTTTGATCAGTAAGTGATAAAATTTTGTATGGATGTAGCCCTGTTATGTTTATTTATTATAATTCGTCGATGCAATTGACATACTGATGTAAATAAAAAAGGTCGAAATAAATATGATTAAAAAATCAACATTTTGCTGGCGTTATTTTATTCAAACAAAGTAGAAAATTTTGAATGGAGAATGAAGGCTCGAATTCATTGAAAATATCTTTTAAAATAAGTGATCGTCATGCTATTAGCTCCACAAACACTATGTGATAATTTTTTTAAGACTGAGACATAGTGTAGGAAAGATGCACACACAATATTGTAGTTTTATTTCTCCAAAATGTTTAGATGAATGCATTCGTTCATTTGTCATTTTTAGAGTAAAATTTCAAAGGTTTAAAGATGTTACTGATTCTAGCATTTCAAGCTTCATTTCTGTCTAGTAATGAGGAGTTAGTTCTTTCATCAAGATTTCATAAGGCAAGATGATTTCATTACGAAATTAGCTTGGCTTTTCTGCCGGTTTTCTTCAATGTCAAAAGTACCGTTTCAGCAGGTAATTTTGTTGTAACGGTGACACGTTTAGCTGCTATGTTGATTTGTACGTCCGAAACATCATCTGGATAAAACATTAAGAACTAATAAAAAAGAGTAAAAACCTGGATGTTGCTTGCAAAAGTTAAAACTTTTTTCAAATTTTCTAAGCTATCTTTTTAGTATCAAGGCTACGAGTCGTTGATTAACATACCACCCAACTTTGAAAGTACTCTCCTTGCCGCATTCGCGCATCCTTCACAGGTCATATCCAGTTCGAAGGTTAATACCTGAAACTGGATATCTTTAACTGTACTCTGATAATCTGATTCACTTCAGTATTACCATGATTTGTAAACCAACATTTTTTCACCACTGATAAAAGATCTAAACATAGTAACTTTTCATGCATAATCAGTTGCAGAAAAAGTGCATTTTGTGCATCTCAGACAGAACTCAATAAAATTTGCATTTTTCGTGAGCAATGAACTAAATCAGAATTAAGATATCGGAAAACTCACATCATTCATGTCAGGTTTTGGGTATAATCGATGTGCAATATAGAAGGACGTGAAAAAATGAGAAATCAGCAAGATGCAGGTAGCAATGAAAATTATTAGCAAGGATTTGATCCAGACCAGTAAATAATTATTTCTGAAAAAATATGCCAAATAACAGTAAAAGCAAGTTCCTTTATTCTGAAACTGTTCATATGCATCTGTAGTGATATTTATAATGTTACTATAAATTCTCGCACCTTTTTTTTGACTAAAACATATTTACTGTTCAGAGTGAAAATCATTTTAGAGGAAAAAAAAAGTCGTTCATCTGAAGTCACTCCATGCCATATAAGGTAAATCTGTAAGAGTAACATATACGTGCAAGATTAAGTAGTACCCAAAATGTAGAGTTCACATCCACTATCAATCGAATGATTAGAGTGCTACGATGAAACTCTTGTAGAGTTCAAGACTGACTTAGTGCTAAGAATGATGTGCTCTTGAAAGAGCAACGATACGTCTGCTTAAATTTAATTTAAAAACTTAGACGTGGAACTGCATCATAGATGAATGTTTTGTTCATTAAATGAAATAAAAATCGACACACACTGTAGGTCAAAAAGTGTACTCGACAGTTGCTGACATTGCATATGAGAATGGAAAAGATGCAAGGGCAATGGAATTGATTAGCTTTGTTTTAAATGGGAAAATAAGGAGCTAAGGTAAATCAAGAGTTAATCAATGCTTTGTTTTCTGAGTAAATATACGAGAAAGTTTGTAACGATGAGATCAGATAGCAGCAGACCTTACTTTGAAACGTACAAAGTGAATAGTTTTGTACAGGAATACATATATCTAATTGTTAGATAATTTTAAGCGTAACTTTTTCGAAATCTTTAAATCTTTTTTGGTACTACCTAATTTGTATTTGAAGACATTTTATTGATTTGCAGTAATTTTAACGTAAAATAGCTGAAAACAGAATAAAAACTGATGTTTTCGATTCAAATAATTAGTATTGGCATTAGATAATGGGCATATCATTCCCGACAATGGAAACTTTCCTTGCATTTGAAAGTATTTATGACCTGGTTAAGGTCCCACACCATTTTCAACATTCAGCATGCAACAGCTATGAAACGGTAGATCAAACGCACAATTGTTCAGAAGGTCGATTCATGTATCCATGATATGTCTCTTATTGCTTTTGTTGTTAATTTTGTTTGTGACTGCAATTATTTAATTATAATTTGGACAGATTGTGTAACTGGATTTAACTATCAATTATTAGAGTGTAATTGATAACTTTGAATTTTAAGTTATCAATTATTTAATTATAAATTGGACAGATTGTTCATTCGTTATATTTTTTTGTACAGTCATTTATTAGTAAAGCTATTGATAATGCTCACTTAAGCTTTTTCGATTATCCTCTGTTGTGATGTCTAATGATAATGGTGGGCATGCAGTACCGCAGTTGACTAATAATCAGTCATCAGCCACTGCAACTCTTCCTCAGTATTCTGTCCCAGCGGCTCAAGTAGCGGGTGCATCTAAATATACGCAGTTATTAAATGTAAATTTATTACCCTTTTCCACGCTTAATTGAAAACCAGTAATTAAAGTACATATATTAATAGTTACAGTGTTTTAAATTAGCTGAAAGGAGAAAAAATTTAAAAAAAGCATACTTTCACAAAATCAAAAAATTTGGTAAATGAAGACGGCGTACATTTGGTTTGTTGTAGAACCTAATTTTTGTCAGCATGTTAGTAATAAAAGATAAATTAGTGATGCTACATTTTAGAATATTTATAGATTTAGGCTTCTTTCACATCGTTGTTACATTACTTTCTACAGTATCCTAATGTGCAAAAATATTTTAGATTTGATGCGGATATAATAACACTTAGTTGTATAACATGTTATTTTTTATGCAGATAATCGAAGAGTTGGGTAAAGATATTCGGCCATCGTACACAAACAATAAAGTTTGTTCAGAGCGTTTGAAGCGTAACATTATTCATGCTAGAATCCTTGTGCGAGAATGTTTAATGGAAACAGATCGTAACGCTCGACAACAACAGTGATTGTCATTCATTTTTCTTTTTAATATAGCTATAAAATCAGAAATCACTTAAATGCAGTTATCTCCACTCGTTTTTGATCAAAGACCTTCTTCGCTCGAACTTATTGATAAAGAATCTTTGTTATCTATTGTTGGTACTTATCAGCTGCAAAGCGGTGAATATTCTGGTAGCATATACAAGTTACATGGTAATAAATTAATCAACGTCATCTCTTTAAATGGGGGTGTTTTTCGCTTTGTTCGCTTACTCGATGGGCGTATTGTTGCTGCTTTAACTACGGGATCTATTAATATAATCAATGATAGTTTGAATGATGTGAAAACTATACCAATAATTGAAAAAGTGACACTGCTATCAGTTTCCATTTGTGGTAATTCCGTACTTTGCTCTGATGCTTGTGGAACAATACATACAGTTGATTTAGAAACAGGTAAATAATTTTTGTCAGGCTTACTATTTAAAAAATTGAAATTGCTAAAATCAAAATATGCCGTGGTAGGTTCATTTCAGTACATGTACTGTGCTAATTGTACTGATTTAGTATCGCTGTTAGGTCATGCACAAGTATTTGTAGTTTGTTGATCACAATCTCTCAGTATAAACTTCTGACACTAAATAACATGCCCAATTGCTTCTTCTCTTTTTTAAGTAAGCTATTATCTTGTTTCTTTTGTATGCTTTAATTTTTTTATTTCAGAAAATGTACATTCATTTTTGGCACATGTTTCACCGTATACAAAAAATCCTTGTGAAGTCTGGACGACTTTATGGCTCGATTCCAACCGCATTTTATCAGGTGGCGAAGACAATACATTCAAATTATGGGATTTGCGATCAAGTTATAACCGACCAACTAGTATTAACAAAATGCATAATTGTGGTGTAATTTCTTTATTTAAAGAAAATTTGGAGAGCATTATTAGTGGCTCTTACGATGACTACTTGCGCCGTATCGACCTTCGAAACTTTGATTCTGCAGTGTGCGAGAGACAGGTTCATTTTTGTAGCATTGATTATTCCTTATGTGTTAGCATTATGATCGTTTGAAATCATATTTATAGTAGCATGTCATCTTTTCCTGTTCAGTAAATTTTAAATGTGCAAATGGAAGCAGAACAAATGTAGGATTTTTTACAATACAAAAAATAACGAAGTGGAATTTATGCAAATATAAAAACATCTTTAGAAGAATAAATCTCAAGAAAATAAAAATACTTTGCAGATGAACGGTAGTCCATGGAGCATACGTACTGTTGACGAACGTTCATATATTCTTTCGTGCATGTATGGTGGATGGGCAATAGTGAAGAAAGAAAACTTCGATATTATCCATGAAAACAAAGCTCTCGGTGAGGCGTTGTTGTATGATGCAGATTTTTCATCACACGCCTCTTTAGTGATTTCTTGTACATTTAACAATTATGCAGTGAATTTTGATGTTTGTAAGTTTTTAGGCTAGCCGCAGTATTTTTCAAAATAACTCAGTCTCTGCAGCCAAATCTTAATCTAATCCAAGTCATCTTGTGCCCACCTTTAAATTTTTCTGTCTCTTCAAAAGTTAATGTCCTGCTCCACTTTTTAAAAGGATTTTTTATATAAATGAATTATTTTTATTTGGTTTGTGCAACTTTTCAATGTCCAGATGATTAAATTCTTATAATAATCTTAGCACTGATACCAAATGGGAAAATTTGCCACAACATGTATTAAATTACACTACAATGGAAGCTGGAGGTGAAAGATTCGGTATCGTAAGACCAGCATTGTGGGGGCTACAAGGGAAAACCTGAAATTCGGTGCTAATTAGTTAGAGTACGTAGATGAAATATAAATTTAGTTCCGAAATTATCGGATGGAACAGGAAATTAGTTTCGGAATATTTCTCACTTTGATGTCCAAATCCCACGACATCGTTTCTATGTTAACGTTTTCTGGAGCTTGCCAGAGTCCTTCGTTTACTTCTTCGTTAAAATTGTTACATATCACAAATTCAAAATGGAGGCGCCATTTTAAGTGCACTGAAAAGCAAAAAAAAAAAAATACTGAAAATTCAACTAATGCTATCCAAAAAATAATGAATATGTATAATAAGACAAAAGTAAATCAACTCAAAGTTGGTCATTTGCATCATATGGACATAGGTTATTTTGAATAAAGTGATTTGTCCAGATAGTTACCTTTCAAAGCTTTGTTGATCGAAAAAAGAACAGAAATGAGATTATTTCATGTTAGGCCGCGTGCCCATTTAATTTATACCTGTATCAGTGCAGAAAGTGGGTGTAGCTGAAAGTGGTACATGTAGGCGTACCGCCGCCTCTGTCCAATATGCACAAACAGCGTGCTCAGTCATATGCGTAGCTACAAACGTATTTGGGTACCATTCTTCATTTATTAAAGTTTCAACAGATTGTAAATATACAGCAAACTGAAATTAGTGTTGAAGAATTTGAATCTCAAATAACCACTTTCATTGTAATCATGCTAAACATCAACAAATTCATAAGAACAAAGCAAACTGTACTTTCTTCAAATCAAAGAACTTAATTTTTCTGGAAGCTCACTGCATCATTCTTGTACAAACAACAAACAGAGCAGAAGTTTTTCAGTGAAAGAGACAATTGTTATTGAGGCAACTTTTTTGTCTTTAGTTATCAAATATGGGCATTTCAGACGCATTAATAACTAAAGACCAAATGATGAGACACGATTCAGAAGAATATTTCAAATTTATTATGAAATTTCAATAAAAAAGCAGAATCAGTAACCTGAAGGCATCGTACAGCACAGCCATCGAAGTTAAATCGTCCTACAACATCCTCACCTAATTTATAAGATTTTTTATTTAGTAAGAAATTAGCAACTCGACCAACTGCATTTGTCATGCTGTATTTATAATCACCCTGGGGTGCAGTTAAACAATCTGCTGCTTCGGTAGCTAATTCTACAATAGATGGCCTAAAAACAGTATATATATAGAGATATATATTATAGGTCGAAACAAGAGATACTGCAGTAAAGTGGAACGACTGACATCACATTAAAAATTAATTCCATGAGTAAACAACACTGCCCAAATTACAGATACTTTTCATACAATTACTTTCAAAATTCATCCAATTAATTTTTAATGACAATTAATAACTGAAGTTACTTTGTAAACGATACCCAGGATTATGATTATCTATAAATGGGTTCTTGGAAGTTCGCAATGATGGCAATGTCAATCCGAGATCACATTGTATGATTCGCAAAGGGATATGTATCAGTTTGATCGGTGATTTTACATGTTGTACACCAAGTGTTAATTTGTATACATAACGCACTAGATGTCCTCTTCAATTAATGAAAAATGAATAAGAACGATAGAAATTTTTGCATTTTCTTTAGCATACATATGGCATCGTCTAGACAAGAAATTGTGACAAATGGGATCAGATTTTGTGCAGGATAGATAAAATACATTAATTTTCGACTCAACAGTCAATAAGAATAACAACAAACTTGAATGATGGTGGTATGGAATCCAGTGGTAATTGCTGTGTACATTCAAAATCACGACTTTCGCCAACATTCAAAATTAATTCGCAAAATAAAATAACTGGTCGACAAGAGAAAACAGTAAAAGCAGAACGAGACATTGCAGTTGTTCCTATATCTTGTGGCTTCTCCTCCATGGAGCACTTCTTCGATACAAGCGCATTAAATTTATTAGCGCGAACAATCCGTTCACACTGCACATGAACACTGCCCCATGCCAGTGATTCCTCATCCCGGCCAATATTCCGCAAAACTACCTGAATCACATTAACTGTTATTTTATGGGTACTCATGGAACATCTCTTGGCATTCATCAAAAAATACTTTTAAAATCAGCAGCAATGATGTATGTGAACTATACTATCTGCGGGAACAAAATTTACAACCTTGCATTGAATTGCTTCACCAGCAAGATAAACAGCAGATTCACGATCTAGCTTCGCGACTATTTCAATCGGCATTGGTTATCTAACAAATCTAAAAAAATGATGAGTAGATAACTTGTGGAATAAAATTGAAACAAAAGCACTTACTCCTGAAAATACTTAAATATCAGCCTCGTTTGGGATCAAAGGAGAGTGAGATTGGATAAACCTTCGATTGCACAGATTTATTGTTACCTAGCATATTGATCTGATTTTAGTACCGAGTTAATGAAGTAAGTGGATTTCAAGATGCTAATGCAGTCATCGATAAACAAGCAAGAAGAACAAATCTTGGACTTGTTTATTCCACTATTCAAATAATGAAATAGACAGATGGGGAGGAAAAATGAAGAACCTAAGCTAAAATATCAGTGAATAATTGTAAGGAAGTACAAATATGTAAATAAAAAGTTTCATCAAAAATTTTATTCATAATGTGCAGTACAAATCGAAAGTAATGAATTACTGAATGAAGTACGTTTGAGATTACAACCAAAAACTCAATAACATATTGCCAGTATGAAATATATTTGTCTTATACTGCTGTCTTCTAATCTTGCAAGTTACTATGTCAAATACAAAACATCATTCTGGGCGCAAATAGTGACTGCTAGTTAAACATTAATTATATATAGGAGGAAGGAAAACAAAAATGAAGCACTATTTTGTGCATATTCTACAAATACACTTTTCAGGATTCTGAGGAAAAATTTGCAATAATATTTTTTTTTTGAGAAAACCATTATATTATTGAATGAATAATCAAATTATATTCTACATTGAATAATAAGCTTAACATGTTTAACGCAGAACACATGACTGACATGAACATTTAGTCACGAGATGCCTAAAGTACGCCAAAATTCGAACAGCATCCTCATACGCATCACCAGCTAAAATTAATTTCACGCGTTCTAAGACTGATATTTGAGTTAATCAATGACAAAATTAAAAATTGAAGCAAAAAGCCAAAGAAGCTTTCTCCTGTTTATATTTACTTGAAAGTTATTTATTGTGAAAATCATTGACAAATGTATGAATAAAAATTTTAATTCTAATAAAAATTAACTGCTACAATAGAACTTTTATGAAATGGCAGAAAACTTTGTACACGGCGAGCACGAAACTTACTTTCCGTAATTATATGGCTGTGATGCAAAAAGAATAATTCCAAAATTTATGCTAAATAAGGACATTTTTTACTTAAAGTTAAAAAAATCATTTATTCTCTAAGATTCGTAAAATGAATCATAATGTGCAGAAGCTAAAACATACTTCCACTCGAATCAGCAAATGTGGCGGATGCAGTTGGAGGATTTACTGATAATAGAGGAGATAGTGACAATCTACTCGAATCTATCTCGGAAATTTTCGAACGAGGTAAAAAACGAGAAACACCTGACGGAATAGTTTGATTAGTAGATTGCGTAAAAGTGTTATGGGATAAAAGTGTAGGAGATCGAGCGGTAGCTTGCTGAAACTGTAATCAAGAAAGAACAAAATTGTTTGCCTACCGAAAACACGATTAGCAGCGACCTGCCCATTATTAAAAAAATCAAACAACTGTTTGTCTTCTGATACCTTCAATAAGCATTCTATTTAGTCTTGTATAAGTAAGATTTATTATACTCTGTATCATAAAAGATTTAACTGCTTAATATACTGTATACTACAATACAGTGATGACTAGTTTCATAATTTAAAAGTTTCTGCGCAAAAAGATTAATTTACTGAGGTTCTCAAGTATTAAAATTAAATTTGCTTACTACAGTATCAGATTGCTGCCCATCACCGTTAACGTATTTTGAATTCATTGCTGTTGTAGAATTTTGAAATGCCTTCCTGGTAAGACTTGTGAGAGGCTGACTATAATTTTTGTAAAGTCATAGTAAGGGATCAATTCTTAAAATAAATTATAGCAAAGCTCGATCTCTTTAAAATATTACTCAGTAAGTGATAAGATATTACCTAATTACTGACAGTTTCTGAAAAGTTTAACGAGGCTGATCTTCATCTTGTACATGTAAATTTGTCCTCTGATTTATTACACACTAAATTATCATATCGCAATACATCATATATGCATGCTTTTCAATCTTTAACAGAATGTCTTCATTTTTGCAACTGTTGGTAGTCTATGAATCAATTTGTAGATGTACTTAACAATTGTTGGAACATCAGATACTTATTTAATATTTCAATTGGTCTTTGTTGTCGTGAATAAACATTATCAAGCGTAGCGTTCTTGTTACACACTGCAATTGCTCTCCAACGACAGGTGCTTTGTTTCTGCTCGACTGCTTTATATTTCAGTTGTACACCCGCTTTAAATGTATTTCGAATATCCTAAAAAGAAAGTCAGAACTCTCCTTTCATTAATTCGAAATTCATCGGACTCCCATAAAAAATGATGAACTAAAATTCACGTGTGTATCTGGGCGAACAACACTTGCAGTGAAATATACGGTACTTCCATCATTTGTCTGAAAAAATCAAAAACTTATTACTAACATAAGTAATTATGTTCAAGTCACTTTCAGACAAATTCCGTCCCTAAAACTGACTTAAATCTTGCTAGATTTGAAAAATGTAATGTTTCATCTTCTAATTAATACAGTGAAGATCACCATACGTAAATAAAGCCATATTGTCCCTGATGCTCATCAACTTTGAATAAGGTCCCCACTCCTTCTGATACAACTGCTTTCGATTCAAATTTTACACTTTTTGATAAGGCTTTAAATCGAACACCGAAATAAGCATGCGATGGATCCTGTAGATTATAAAAAAGTAACAGCACTCAATATTATTTTGTGTATTAGATAGACTCAAAAAGACAAAAAAGTATCTTTTGAAAAATACCAAATGTGAAAGATGAATATATATGAAAACAAGTCATATAGACCATTTAGATGGAAATATTTTTGTCGAATTAAGAAAACTCCAGGTACAAAACTTGACACCTTTTCTTTCCGATGTTTACGCCAGCTTTAACAATAATTTCTTTGCACAAAAAGCTCAAAATCAATTCAAAATGTTCCAGAGTCATAAAAAAATAACTAACACCTTCGTATGACTTCGCTTTAAATGTGACCCAATCCTGCAATTCATAATTGTTTCCGAGCCAAGAATCTCTAAAAGCGACAATTTTGCCATCCAATCCACCTTTAGACAAATGGATGAAATCATTGGATACATAGACCACTCGCGCACGACCTGTTAACGTATCACTCATGATGATACCTCCTACAAAGTTACTGAAGTTCTCCACAGATCTAGATCCACTGAATTTAACATTCAGAGCTGAGTCATATAGCTTTAGAATTCAAATCACCTTTCTTATCCGAGCAGAGATAATTTTATAAGCCTTAAGATCTAATCGCAGCGACTAAAAGAATAATATGTCTAAAACTAGTTCCTTTTTCATCTTTTTTAACAAGTATATAATCGCTTCAACGACGAGAACAAATTATCACTATTCATATCTTTCGTTCTTTATATAACACGCACATATAATAAACATATTGGAACGTATAACTACGAAATTACAATATAGTGCCACAATTTGTTCCCAGATCCGATGCAAACATATAAAATTAAGCGCAATGAATAATTTAGAAGTAAAGATACTCTCGAGCATTATAATATTCAATTACAATTTAAGGAAGTCAAAAAAATTATTGCTACCTACAACAACAAAAATTATATTATACCGTAAAGGAAAATTTAAAAAAATTTGATTATATCAAAAACTTGAAGCATATTCCAGGTAAAAGACTTAGATTAATACATTTTAAAAAATGATAAATTTGTCGCAACTGAAATTTTCGACGTTTTTTATAATGAAGACTACAGTCACATGAGCCGATCTTTATCATTAGCTCTTGCATCTCGCACCCAGGGAGTCAATCGCCTTACTGTTTGCATATTATATGCATAAGCATCTAATCCAGAAGAAACAACTGCCTCTACACAATCTAAAGAATATTGAAAATCCGTCACAAGACACGCCACCAGCATTGATGGGGATTTTTTTTTTTGAGGTTGAACAGTTGCTGCTATATGTGATGCACACCATCGTCTAAATTATTTCTGAAATTAAATTTCGAAAGCACAACAAGAACCAATTTTTAACGTTATTTATATAAATTACACAATGCTGCTACTGAACTATGACAAACCAGTATGCAATATATAGAATGTATCGGTGATATAACTTTTAAATTAATGATTTTTCTCAAGTGTGAGCTTCCGTTCCTTCACGACTTTTTTCAAAAAAAATTCGCCAGCCTGAAATATGAGCAATTCAAGAGATTTTTAGAAAGAACAGTCCAAATTTGAAATGTTCTAAATTTTATCAGACATAAATAAACATCATTTACTGCTGAGAAAATATTCCCAAAATATTAAAATTTATGTTTCCGTAAAGTTTGGATGAAATAAGCACACAATTTATACAATAAATATAAATAATTACTTTATAAGATGACCGAACAAGTGGTCCACTTGCTGTATACAAGAATCCCATTCTATCTCCAACTTCACGCCACTTTTCAAATTTCTGCGGAGTAATCCACTCCTTCACCAGTAAATGTCGTTTAGTGGGTTGCATGTATTGCCCAAATGTTACTGCATCAACACATGAAATCAAAACTGAATGAATCTCAATATATCACCTCGACTGGAAAGTTTCTCACCCTCTACATACTTTTATTCGCTTTTACAAACGATAACATCACATATGACTGAACAGCTTTGAAAGAGAAATTTTACCGATTTCGCGTAAATCTCGCATGGTAGCTAAAACCTCTTCATCGTTTTCCCCTAAACCAAGCATTAACGAGGTTTTAGTCACAATATCTGGACGGAACTAAAACTTGACTTGTTTAAATATTTTTAGATCGATAATAAGTTTAAATTCATCTACGATGATCATTATTCCTTTAGAAACCTAAATACTCACCCTTTTTGCATGTTCTAAAACTTTTAGAGATTGATCATACGTAGCTCTTGGATCTCGCACCCATGGAGTCAATCTCCTTACTGTTTCCATATTATGTGCATAAACATCTAGTCCTGAAGAAACAATTGTTTCTACACAATCTAAAGAACCTTGAAAATCCGGCACAAGACATTCTACCAGTATTGACGGGGATTCTTTTTTGAGGTGTTGAACAGTTTCTGCTATATGTGATGCACCACCATCCTCTAAATCATCTCTGAAATCAAATTTTGAAGGTACAAAAAAAATCTGTATATATTAAGTTGATTACTGACATCTAGGCATGTACAAAACTCAAATCAAAAAATAGATGCAGGAAGAGCTAAATAATGAAGCACCTATCTACAGATGTTAGTACAACATAGCTCAATCCCCAATCAGAAACAGCTTTCGCCGTGTTAATCGGTTCTTGTGAATTAAGCGGTGCTGGTTTACGAGCAGTTTTGACAGAACAAAACCTTTAAAAATCTATATTTATTAAATATACATCATTTTACAAAATCTTAAATATACATCATTTAAATGCCGAAAATACTGTGGCATCATGAAGGCATAATTTTCATGAATGTGGCTAAAATTCAATGACCTTTAATACAACTTGAATAAAAGGAGCAGAATTCAAAGAGAAGAAAAAGACGGATAAAGCTTGATAATAAAGATTATTATATGCGACGGAAATACTTCGTGATATTTAAAAAAAAATAAAAACGAAGAATAACTGCTGACTTGCAACCTCTTGTACAAGTATCCCCCATCAACATGATTGTTGCTGTCGAGGGAGCATTACTCAAACCACCCCAACATTCTCCAATATTGGGACAACGAGCTTCTTCACAGACCTTGAAAAATATCATATTTCACAACTTTTAAATTAGTAATGATTTAAAATATCTTATTTTGCTAGATATACACAAAATTTAATGGTAAATGACAAAAAACCTGTGATACCATTTTTATATGCCAGCTGGTATATTTTAATTACAATCTAATTAAGAGCACAGGAAACAACATTGCCGACCAAAGCATTTTTAGATGAAAAGAAAATTCATTTTTTAGATCAAATCAAAAAAAATTTTCTTTCTGTAAAAATTTCTTGATATACCGTAGCAAGTTTCAATTTTTTCACTTGTTTCTTCATCTGCATATAATTTGTTTCATCAAGTGGAGGTATGTCTCGTTTAAGCCATGGTGGTAAACGTAATCTCTTAGCATCATCTTCCAGTTTCATACGTATCCCATATTTCTGGGCAGCATCTCCCGAGTTTCCTAAACAGCAGTGAAAAATCCAAACTTAAGGTCATGACGTTTAAAAAATTACACAAAAATTTGCATAAAAGAAAAAAATCGGTGCTTACAAGCAGAAAAGTACAATTTTAAATGAAACAGCATAAATTTGTTCTTTCTCAAATTAGCATTTCAAATAACACTCCTCAAAGCAACATAAAAAGAAACATGTGAGCTCGAGATTGAAGATGAATTAATTTCAGAATATTATGATGACAATAACTTTGAACAGGAACGATAGTTCTATCCACAAGCAGTAAGGCTAAGAAATACCTGCTTCAATGAAGTCTTGAAGTGAGGGACCATTTGGAAGTACTTTACGGCGTGAAGAGTACGCTACCCGAGGTATTTTAATCGCGAATGAGATCATGTTCCCATCTGTGATGATAACTGATTAAGAAAATTATGACAAATTTCGAAACTGAATGATCGTGAAGTTTTCTAGTTAGCAATATTTATAATGAATGTTTAAGATTAAGAGGTTTGATATCTGAGTTATGTAACAGCAAATATCATGAACAGGACCTCTGTCTTCAGCACTCAACTTCTACACTAAACAATTACATTAAAAAGTTATTATCTCTCAACAAGAGGTTAGAACTTATGGTAGGCCTTGGGTAAGGATTTTTGTAATGGACCTGTAATTTATTTCTGATTTAAAAAAATTTGAACAACTAATAAAAAGAATTTATGTTACAAAATATATCACACAAAGGTAACCATTCTCACTTTCCTAGCTATATCTTAGTGAATAACATGTACCATGCTAACAACATGCAGAAATCTCAGGTGCGTGATTTCGTCCTGCACATGAAAAGCTATCTAGTGATGGCGCACTTAGACCCATTTATTATCCACGTGAGAATTATATGCCATGTTGTTATCTCTGCCCCAGCAATACGTGTCAAGTTTTCTATCTCTTGCTTTCCTTTTTTCTCTAACTTCAGCAGACTAAAAGTGCTATTAACCATTTATTAGCTGTCGCTGCTTGTGCCTTCTAATCGAGCAAATTCTCCACAAGTAAAAGTTTTGTCGTACCCCACAAATACCACTTATCATTCCCTTTCATCACCAAGCAGTACGTTTCCCCGACACTCTTCCTCCACGTCTAGCTAATTCTCTCTTCGTCCGAACGTCATATTTTCTTCCATCACAAATAAAACTTTAGAAAACACTTTTTTACGCAGCCTGTGATATATAGCTATGCAAGACTTTGCCTTAGCAAACTGTTATTTCTGTTTTCCAAGCAAAATGAGTACGGCGTCTTCGTCTTGTTTAGATTCAGAATTTTATAATGAATAAGTTTGCTAAAATTCTGTTAAAGAGAGTAGTATTCAAGTTTTCTTATCTAATTTGCTGAGTAATAAGCGTGCAATTCTGAAGTTTATCGTTGGAAAATCGATTTCCGTTGGTTGGGCACGCTTTCAGTTACTGAAAGTTTCAAAATGCTTTCAATTCATTTTGTTCTCAATAAGTTTAACTTTTTGTTTGGTGGCATGCATGCAATCAATATCAGATTTAATCTGCCCAAGTAAGATAATGCTCAGTGACATAGGAGATTGTCTGGGGTTCGATAGCTCTTTAAATGTGAAGTGCGTGATTAATCTCACGAATAAACTGTTCCTTTAATTTGTTTGCTAGAAAATTTGCAAAGTTTTATTGTTTTTAAACTTCGAAGCAGTACTTCTGAGTACGTGAGCACATCCTATAATATTGCTCATTTGAAAAGATTTATAGAGTTTGTTTTTTCTTTTTTCTTTTTCTCAACAGAAGTAAGAGTAGAAATTAAACGATGTGTTGTACTGAACAATAATTTTCTTATACCGTTTGGTTTTATTTGCTAAATGGTTCTTTTCAACAAATCTGATATTGTCAGTAACCCGTTTTTTTCATAAAGATCTGATTCAGAATCTTTTCTGCCTCAGCACTTTTCCAATATGCTTTGAATTGGATTTAGCATCCAGATTCACTTCTCAGTGTACTACCGATTGAAACTGAAAGTTATTGATTATTTGAGGACTGTTTCTGCTTTAAGAATTGCTTATTATTTATTTTGCCAAAAAGTTTGATTTATACAATAATGTGTACGTAAATCTTTTGTTGCGGAAATGATAATTTTTATTTGCAATGGAAAAGAATTGCCATTTTCTGTAAGCTTTATGCAACTGTGACTTTCTTCTTCTGCCATTGGTATTTCTTAGGTGTTGGCAATCGTTATGATATCATCGAGTGATGGCAACTTTTTACATTTATTTGTTAGCACTCAATTCATTCGTAGAACAAAATGTGACTGCCGATCTACTTCTGAAATACTTTTCAAAAATAGTTGATGTTAATAGTTATCACCACGTATTGAAAGTGTAGACAATTGCGTTTCTCTCTACAGGAACTACATAAATTCAAGTTTGAGTGTATAAGAGAGCAGATTTTAATAATTATGAAAAGTAATAATTAAGGCACTTCATATTGATTTTAATTAATGGGAGACTCTATACTTATAAATTTAATAGATGTGATATATTAGTTGCCTTATGTTATTAACTTTACTTTTACGTTACCGCACTTACTTTGAGAACCCCTCGCATGTGTAAATCTGTGAATTCATTGCAGTTCCCTGTCTTGTTAACCTACCTATGATCTTTTCATTACTGTCTCACGAGATGTTTACTATCAGTTGTGTAATTATTTTGCGAGGTACTTTTCTATTTGCACCATCATTATGAGCATAACCATTTGTTAATAAATGTTCTCATCTTTTACTTAGCTTAGCCCATACTTAGTTTAGATTTTAAAATGATCGGTAAGCACTTATATATTATGTGTCTTAATTGAGTTTTCTATGAAAGCTCAGGATGTTTTTATTAGCTCTGTCAATCCATCTTTAGAAGCACAGTAAAGAAGAGTGAGCACGGCATATGTATAAGATGAGACTGTGCATTAAATTGAACTTATTATTTTCTTGTGATTTTGAACATTATTATTTGTCTTGTCACCTGCATTGAATCAACATTGAATTGACTGAATTTAACATTCCAATAAGCAAAATATTTCATTCATTTTGCATTTAATAACGCGTATAAATTATGACAATACATCTGTACTGAAATAATAATTAATGGTAAACTCAGCTTGGGCGAATGTGACAATGAGGTGAATTTGTCGAAGACTAATAAGATGTAACTTTTTTGGAGAGAAAAATGAAATTGCGGGCGCCAGTGTGATCGCTTGTTTGCAACTGTGTAAACTTTCTGTTCTATCTATCTTCACTGGACCTGTCTTGATGGCTGTTGATAGGTCTTCCAGCCTTTGGAACTTCTTTATTCGCCAATTTTTTTACGATTAGGCCTGATTTTGTTGCATATTGTTGTTGCTTCCAAATCGCATTTTATCTTCTTCCATCATGCTTAGATCATTAAAATTTCAAATTTTGACCCCACAACTAGCGTTATATCTCAGAATATTTTGGATTTCTTTTAGAATAAAATTGAGATGAAAAGTAAATGTAAGAGTCGATAAGTTTAACTGAGGTATATATTTATGCATGTTATTACCTGTTTCTAATTTTTATTTCGTGCATGGCATTTTAAACACTTAGGTTTTGACCTCGTTGTTTATAGTTTAAGTTATTCATCTCTCATGCTCAAAGCCATGCTATTGTTTGTTGTAAGAACTTTATGGTTCTTTTCGTTACGCAATTAATGATAAGTGAAAATGAAAAGTGGGTAGGTAATAGGTATACTTTATCATAGGTTACATCATTTACAGGTATAATTTCTTATGGCGTAGGACATGAACTGATATACGTGATATGTGATATTTACACAATCATTCAAATACTTGTAACTACTGTTGTAATTACTATTTTGCAATGTCGTACCTGAAAAGCCTTTGTAAAAATCTCTCGTTATACTTTGTTTCCTACTGCTTCTTTATCACTAGACAAGTGATTCAATCACCAAGTTTCTATTTCGTCCTTCTATTTACATTCGGCTTGGAAAAAAAATATCTACACAGTATTTCAGGGAGGCAATGACAAATTAATCCTTTTAAGTAAAAAGTAATTCAGCTTGTTAATTGATATATACATAGTGCTAGGAGTAAGTTCCCAAGGACGCTAGCATTCAATTCTTTCTAAATTTATTTATTTTTTGATTAAAAGTGAAGTCCAAGAACATTTATATAATATGCCTTATTATCCTTAGAAATAGCTGATGGCTCGCAACTGCTTAAGTTGGAAAGTAGACGAATACTTTCCTTGTTTTCATGACCTATGCCTTTGCATACATTTACAAGTACACCTTTTTTTTAAATCTTGCAGCATGACTAGTGCTATACAGTTTGTGTCTCAAAAAATAAATGAAAGAATGGAGAAGGAAAGCAAACACACGTACTCCGTGAATACCATCATGTTCGATAAAAACATGCGTAGTTCATAATTTTTCTGAATGCAAGTAGATTGGGTAATTAAGTCAAGAGAAGTTAGATGGGTAAGCCTTTGTGTCCGTATGTGTTATTTATATAACATACATGTTTTAATGCTACAAGTTCACACTATGTTGACTCGTATCTTTCCATGTATGTGACGTATATACAACGTTCATGTATGGAAATGTTGAGTATATGTTAAGGAAATATGTTTAACGGAGAAAAAAATTTTAGTGGGTGCCTGTTGCATAGAGTGTGGAGTGAGTGAGCACGAGAAGAGAAATTTGTTTGGTAAGCAAGGAAGTGCGTGCCTACCACATAGTATTAGCCGCCTCGTGTGTATCGTTGCATGCGATCTTGTTACTGCATTGGAGAGTGTAAGTCAATTAAGGCCAAAGGTCAATGAATCGTTTGTTTTAATTCTCCGTATAAGATTATGAGTCGTAACTAGATCTTGGACCAAGCTCTCATTAATCATTATTTTAATTCGTATATCTGAATAGTGACAAGTAACTATGTTATGGTTGTAATCAAGAAATAAATTCGATCTGATTAATTCTTTGATCATGCAGGGGAGGGATGAACAAGGTAGGGAAGAAATTTGTTTTCAGTGCAGCGGATTACGGTGTGTGAGTGATCACGTGACTCCAGTATTTGCGTGACGTGCTTCAGAGCACTTTTTTCGTGCCAAAGTAATAAATATTTATTAATTCGAATTCACTCTGGATTTTTGTGCATATTCCTGCAGCCAGTAAAAATATCACCTGACATAAGAATATAGATTTGTTGAAGGTGAAATTCGTTCATGATACCTGGAAAGGGGATAGTGTAACGTTTGAAATAAGAATTTTCGGTGCGCTCAACTTTTGCTATTCATTAAGTCATTTTTAGAAGAGTTTTGCTGCTGGTTTCTAAGAAGCACCAGTTTTGATGCTGTTTGCATAA